ATATAAGTTTTTATTTCTCTGGATGAATGCTCAGGAGTGTGATTGCTAGCTCATATGGTAAGTATATGATTATTTTTTAGGAAACTGTCAAACTATTTTCTACTGTACTTGCTGTACTATTTTACTTTCCCAACAGCAATGCAGGAGAGAGCCAGTTTCTACCATTCTTGCCAACATTTTTTTATTTTAATTGTTCTGATAGGTGTGTAGGGGTATCTCACCATGGTATTATTAATTTGCATTTTCCTCGTGATGTTGAACATCTTTTCGTGCCATTCACATATCCTCTTATTTGCCATCCATATATCCTCTTCAGTGAAATATCTCTTCATGTCTTTTGCCCATTTTCTTATTGGATAATTTTTTTGTTACTGTTGGGTTTTGAGTTCATATGAATTTTAGATATGAGTCCTTTATCAGACATGAGATTTGCAAGTAATTCACCCCAGTCTTTTCATCCTTTTAACAGGATATTTTGGAGAGCAAAGTTTTTAATTTTGATGAAGTCCAATTATTATCATTGGAGTGCCCTCTGAGTTCCCACCTGTTACCGGTGGAAGTAGAATTCTTGGGGTGCTGCTGGGAAAATAATTTTTGGGGGCTCCCATGGGAGAATGAGGTTTTGTGGAAAGCTTTATTGATGATGTAAAATTAAGGGAGTTCTCCTCCAAGGTCTTATCACCCTCCATCCCGCCAAGGAAAATACCCCATCTTGTCTTCAGCGGGGCTAGGATTAAAGCCACTGCCCAGAGCCCCCATTCCATATTACATCTGACTAGCTGCAGCCCACGTGTGGGGGGTCTGCATGGCCATGCGGCTGCTAAGGCCCTGGCAGGCTAGCACACAGGTGAGTGAGGGTTACCATGGAACAAGCCAGAAACAGGATTGAGAAAGATAGATATAGAGAGAGAGAGATCTTTTGTCTGGGCATTATAACCAGGAGCTTAATTCATTAACCTTCAGGATTTCATGGGCTTGCAGTGGCTCTTCCCCTCTAGCCAGTTATCTTTTCCCCAGGTTTGACTGACAGGCAAGCACCTTTCCTATGTCATGCCAACTTCAGTGTGCATGCACCATCTCCCCCTTTGCTTTCTTCTTATTATTAATATTAATAAACTAGCTAATTATAACAATAACATAATTGTTCCATTTTTTTCTTTTATGGATCAGTCTTTTGGTGTCATGTCTAAGAACTCTTTACCAATCCTAGGTTCTACAGATTTTCTCCTATATATTTTTTCTAAATGTTTTATAGTTTTATATTTAAGATTATGATCCATTTTAAGTTAATTTTTATATAAGTGTGAAGTTTAGAGCATAGGTTTTATTGCCTATGAATATCCCAATTAGACTGTTCTTCCTCCATTGAATTGCTTTTGTACCTTTGCAAGTATCAGTTGGTTGTACTTGTGGGGGTCTATTTCTGGCTTCTGTATTTTGTTCTGTTGATCTGTATATCCATCTCTCCACAAGTACCACACTGTCTTGGTAACTGCGACTATCAAATAAGCCTTGAAACTGAATAGATTGATACTTCCAATATTTTTATTTTTTATACATTTTTAAGTTATTCTAGTTCCATTCCATACAAATTTTGGAATAATCTTAATATCTAGTCACAATAAACCTTGCTGGGATTTTGATAGGAATTGTGTTAAAACTGAATATCAATTTGAGAAGATTGACATCTTTATTATGTATGAACATAGTATATATGTCCACTTATTTAGATCGTTACTTGATTTCTTTCATTTGCATTTTGTAGTTCTAGCATACAAGTTCTGAGCATGTTTAGTTAGACTTGTACCCTAAGTGTTTCACTTTGTAGAGCAATTGCATATGGTATTATATTATATTTCTGTTTACATGTGCTCTCTGCTAGTATATAGAGAGTTAGATAATTTTTATATGTTGAGCTTGTATTCTGTGACCTTGATATACTCACTTATTTGTTCTTCCAGTATTATGTTGATTAACAATGATGAGATGGGACATTCTTACTTTGTTCCTGATATTAGAGGGAAAGCATTCGGTCTTTCATCATTAAGTATGACGTTACTTATAGATTTATTTATTTTTTTTATCCATTTGAAGAAGTTCCCCTTATGCCTAGTTTTCTGAGAGTTTTTTTTTATCATGAATGGATATTGAATTTTGTCAAGTGCTTTTTCTGCATCAATTGATAGAATGATATGATTTTTCTTCCTAAGCCTGTTAATATGGTATATTATATTGATTGATTTTTTTAATGTTGAACTAGCCTTGTATCCAGGAATAAACACCAGTAGATCATGATATCTTATCCTGTGCTGACATAGTGTTAAAATCTATGTGCTAAGATTTTGTTAAGGATTGTTACTTTATATTTATAAGAGATATTAGACTGTAGTTTTTCTTTTTTCTTTCTGTATTCTCTTTGTCTGATTTTGATGTCAGGATAATATTGGCTTTCTGATATTAATGAAAAAGTGTTCCTCCCTCTTCTATTTTAGGGAAGAGAATATGTTAATTTTGGTGTTAATTTTTCTTTAAATGTTTGGTAGAATTCTATAGTAGAGATTAGAGATTTATTTTTCTGAAGTTTTAAATTTATATATCTACTTTTCTTAATAGTTACAGGGCTACTGAAATATTTGAGTTGAAGTACTTTGTGATCTTCGAAGAATTGGTTCATTTTATCTAAGTTTTCAAATTTATGTGTTTGATATTTTCTTACTTTCCTTTGATGTCTGTAGGGTCTGTAGTGATATCAGATATTAAAGCTTCATTCCTAATATTATTAATTTGTGTATTCTCTCTTTTTTCTTTCAGTGTTGCTAGAGATTGGTCAATTTGATTGATGTTTTTTCAAAAAACCATCTTATGTTTTATGAATCTTCTTTACTTTTCTGTTTTCAATTTCATTGATTTCTACTCTTATATTTACAATTTCTCTCTGTTTTCACTGCATTCCAAAAATTTAATATGTTGTATTTTCATTCAGTTAAATGTATTTTTTAATCCCAGTCCTTTAATTTCGATTGAGATTTCCTCATTGACCCATGGATTATTTAGAAGTGTGTTATTTCGTTTCTAAGTGTTTATTTTCCTGTTATCTTTCTGCCCATGACTTCTGGTTTGATTTTTATTATGGTCAGAGAATGCACTGTCCAATTTAATTCTTTAAAATTCTCTGAGGTTTGTTTTATGGCTCTAGATCCTATGGTGTATGTTCTGTGTTTGCTTGAAAAGAGTGCTGCTGTTGTTGGGTGGAGTGTTCCATAAGTGTCAATTAGCTTCTGCTAGGTGACGATGCTGTTGACTTCTTTAATATCTTTGCTGATTTTCTGTCCAGTTGTTCAAGCAATTATTGAGAGAGGAGGGTTGAAGTCTCTCTGTAATTGTGGATTTGTCTGTTTTTCCTTTCTTTTTTAAAAATATATTTTTATTGATTTCAGAGAGATCACTAAAAGGGAGAGAGGGAGAGAAAGATAGAAACATCAATGATGAGAGAGAATCATTGATCAGCTGCCTCCTGCAAGCCCCACACTGGGGATCAAGCCCGCAACCCAGGCATGTGCCCTGACGGAGAATTGAACCATGACCTCCTGGTTCCTAGGTTGACACTCAGCCACTGAGCCATGCCAGCAGGGCTGTTTTTCCTTTCAGTTGTAACAGTTTTGCTTCACATACCTTACAGCTCTGTTGGTCGGTTCATACTCATTTAAAATTGCTGTGTCTCACCCAGCCAGCATGGCTTAGTGGTTGAACATCGATCTATAAACCAGGAGGTCCTAGGGCACATGCCTGGGTTTCAGGCTCAATCCCCAGTGTGGGTTGTGCAGGAGGAAGCCAATCAATGATTCTCTCTCATCATTGATGTTTCTGTCTCTCTCCCTTTCCCTTCCTCTCTGAAATCAATAAAAATACATTTCTCTTGACCTTTTTTAAAATGACTGGAACAACACACCTGGGAATGCCAAAAATAATGGGAAACTAAGCATTCAATATTACAAAATGGTTACAAATTTTTTTTAAAAAAAATTTGATTTGCTAATCTTTGCACTGTAACTGCAGAGCTACAAGGTAGAATAGACAGTAGAACCAGGGGCCTAAAAAGATTGCAGGCAAGTCAGAATTTCAGTAAATACCAAAAGTGCATCTCTTATCATTTATTACATAGCTCTGGGGCACTTAAGCACTATTATCAGTTGCATGAATCACTATGGCAATTGATGAATGTAAAAACTCAATATATATTCCCCCCCTGTAGTGTTTTAAAACTTTTGGTTCTGAAAAATACCTTTTGCCCTCTCTGTCTCATTCTCTCTCTATCTCTCTCTCTGTTTTTCTACTAAATCTAGGCAGCAAGGAAGCATTCTTTCTTTTCTGTAATTTAAAAACTTTTTTTCAGGTTTAAATTACTTGGGGGGAAAATCTGAATATTGACTCCTGACAAAGCAGAAGTCCATAATCCATCCATTTTATAAACAGTTATGCCAACCAAATTCCTTTCATGTCTCCCTATTAGCATGTTCACATTCACTCCTGGGACTGTATCTCCAGAAGCGCGAGAGGGTATCTTAGCCGGTGGTCAGTTTTGCACTGTGATGAAGAAAACCTGTCAGATGTGAACTGGGGCCACCAGTCTCATAACAGACCCCTTACTAACATTAGACCAATGCTAAGAGTAAAGCAGAATGACAGGAAATGTTAATGATAAGTTAACATATATGTAGATAAACATGTATGTGTGTATTATATATACACAGTAAACATAAGCAAATATAATATATGTATATATACAATAAATATATATATATTTCCCATTTTGCCCTGTGTCCCCACCTCCACACACCTTCATGGGGCGCACTCATTCATCTGCTACCAGCACTAGTTCACATTCATGTCCCTTCGACTCAGTGAGAGACTCCCAACCACTGGGCTTGGGCTGAGTAGAAAGTTCTCCTACAGCCATGCATTTCAAAAAAAGAAATAACCACACTCATTCTTCTCCTCAGTGACACTTTCTCAGCTCTGCTTCCTTGAAAACCAAGATGAGCCACACTCACGCTGAGAGGTACGTGATGACCATGATCGATCTGTTCCACAAATACAGCAAACCTGATGACATGATTGACCAGCCGGGCCTGCTGATGTTGCTGAAGGAGAATTTCCCTAACTTCGTCAAGGACTGTGACAGACGGGGCAACGATTACTTGTCCCATGTCTTTGAGGAAAAGGATCAGAACGAGGATAAGAAGATCCAGTTTTCGGAGTTTCTGTGCTTGCTGGGGGACATAGCCATGGACTACCACAGGCAGAGCCACGGAGCCCCGCCCTGTTCTGGGGGAAGACAGTGAGCGCGCCCAGCCCCAGGCTGCCAGAAACCACAAGAAATAAAGTGTCCCTTTTGCCCAGAAAAAAAAAAAAGAAAAAAAAAAGGAAGAAATAAAGAAATAACCTTACAATCATTTGAAACAAAGCCAAGTATTACTTTTAAAAAGCTACCTGCTTTCAATTAAGCAGGAAATTATCTAAGAAGCCACTTAATTTGCTTTGGTCTGTAGTCCCACAACTGCTTTATGCTGAGTGGAGCATGAAATTAAATATGTAACAACTATTCTAATGGTAATGTTTCAGAATGCTAGCGTTGGAGAATCTTCAGTATTCTGAGGGGTAACAAATACAAAAACATACAAATCAAAGACTGGCTGCATTGGGTTTGAGAAAAACATAAACTATTATTAATGTCCTCTATGTATTTGTATATATAGTTATATACGTTATATATATTTTAAAACTATTAAGTTTAAAAATGATTTTCTATTATATATACAGGAAGGGTAGTCATACATGTATGGAGAAATCTCTCTGACAATAAAATGCCCCCCCACCCCCAGCCATGGAAATTCTTACACTGTTTTCTTGGGTCCAACTGTAAAGTGGATTACTGAAGGATCTAGTAAAGGAGAAGGTCATAGTGAATTTTTAACATTTGTTGAATAAATGCTAATACTAATCCCTTGTTTGAGGTATTCATCTTTGTTAAGAGCCAAGAATACATACTGTTTGCAATGGAGAAAGTGTTTATGTAGACATATAAGGGCACTAGTTTATGCAGGAGATTTTAGAAGCATTACTAAAGTGACACTTCAATTCATACTTAACAATGTTGTAAATGCTAGATGGTTCTCAGAGACTCCTATTTATTTAAACATTTTTTACAACTTTGAAACTATTTTTATACTAGATAAATCTTTTCAAACACTAATCATATTACATGTAAACGTTTAAAAAATCTCTGTATAAATGCAGATAAAAGCATCCTTGTCCTTTTGTAGTTTGTATTCCAAACAAATCCTTTCCTTTCTTTTTTTAAATTTAAAAAAAAAAAAAACTAGGTTAGACATCCTGCCAGGTTTACCAGGAAATTTTGACAAACAAATAGAAGAATTTGGGTATCTTTGTCCCCCATGTGTGAAGCAGGGCAAGGTTGAACTGAGGTAGCTTGCAAGGTTCCAAAGTTACTCTGGCACTCATTAATTTTATGCTAAAGATGCTTAAAATTCTAATTTCTATCACTGAGTCTAATAAGACTTGATGATATTGTTAAAAATATTTCTAGTTTTATAAATTACTAGAGGCCCGGTGCACAAAAATTTGTGCACTCGGGGGGGAAGGGGGGGTCCCTCAGCCCGGCCTGTGCCCTCTCGCAGTCTAGGACCCCTCGGGAGATAACGACCTGCTGGCTTAGGCCTGCTCCTGGGTGGCAGAGGGCAGGCCCAATCCCTAGGTGCAGCCCTGGTCGGGCTCAGAGCAGGGCTGATTGGGGAGTTGGGGTGCCGCCCCCTGTCATGCACAGAGCAGGCAGATGGGAGGTTGTGATGCCACCCTCAGTCACGCTCAGGTAGGGCTGATTGGG